TATGACTACATGTTTGACTACTCCTTCCACATGGACGGCTCGCTGGAAGTTATTGTACGAGCATCTGGGTATCTTCAATCTAGCTTCTACTATCCGGCGCAAGCGAAATTCGGGCCGAGGATCCAACAAGCCACCCAAGGCTCACTTCACGATCACATTGTTACGTACAAGGCCGACTTCGACATCGTTGGTGCGGCCAACTCGCTTCAAGTTTCAGAGTTGGTAGTTGTGAACCAAACCCAACCGTGGTTTCCTGAGCTTGGCGAATTTGAGCAGATGGAGATGAATATTACATACATGGCCGAAGAGCAGCAGTTGAATTGGGCACCGAACAACCAGGCTATGTACGTTGTATTGAACCCGAACGCTACCAATGCCTGGGGTGAGAAACGCGGCTATCGTCTCGTACCCGGCCGCTCCGATATTCATCTCTCGACCCTCAATTCTCCATGGTCACGCAAAAACTCCGAATTTGCCAAATCACATCTAGCCGTTACGAGACAGCACGACAACGAGCCATTTGCCAACAGTGTTCAGAACATCAATCTCCCCTTCACACCGCAGCAAGACTTCAGCAAGTTCTTTGACGGCGAATCAATCGAAGGTGAAGATCTTGTCATTTGGTTCAATCTGGGAATGCATCACTACACCAGGAGCGAAGATGTACCTGTAACCCTGTATACGGAGGCTTATTCCAGTATTGTATTTGCTCCGCAAAACTTCTTCGACAGGGCGCAGGATGGCGATCTACTAAATCGCAGGTGGATTGAGGTCGACGAGGATGGAAACATGACATTCGAGACCTATGGTGTGGGGCTAGATGTTTGCCCAGTCGTTTTGAACGAGCCTACAGCACTGCTAGGTGGTGGTGGTGAGCTGTAAGAAGCGACGATCGGCCAAGCCTAGACGCACCAAAGTATCAACACTGTCAATTGACAACGTGTCGCGATCTGGTGACGGCCACCGCTTCACTCTGTCATACGTGACATTTTATCACGACAGCATTCTCATCATCAAAAGTGATTGTTCAATACTATGCAATACGTGAACGTACAATGGCAAGGATCATTCTTGATGTCGTAGAAGTGGTATATGTTTTTTCTTCTCTTGCTACAACACCAAATCTCTTTCGTCCATAATGCGCCTTCCGATTGCCACCACTATCGCCGCAGCAGGCTATCTCGTTGCCTCGCAGTCAGGTTCTTCAAACCGCGTAAGAAACGCCGTGTCGTCGCCAGCCTCTACCGCGACTCTAGTGGCTCGTCAAGATGACACAAAGCCGCCACCCTTGGTCACGTCCATTACGTTCCTTACCTCGATAGCTTTCGTTACTGCCGAGCCGTCTAATACGGTTATTGTGCCATCACGTAGTCCAGACACCTCCTCGGAGCCGCCACCACCGCCACCAGCCCCGTCAAGTACGACGGAAACGTCGACAAGTACCGAACGACCGTCTACAACGACCAGTGCTACTACTACCACTTCTCCAACTTCTACTGAGACTAGAACAAGGTCCACAGAAACATCCACAACATCTCCCACCGCATCTCCAACCCAAACCCCTCACCCAGATGTCGATCCCGGCCCCTGGCTTAGCAGGGGTAAAATCGCCGGTATAGTCGTGGGCTCCGTCTTCGGCTTCATCCTCCTCGGCTTGACAATCTACGCACTTTTCGCTGCATACCGCGGCATCAACGTCTGCGATTGCTTCGGTGGCTGTTTTGGCAAACGCGACAACGACGATGACGCAGAAAAGGGCCCATCTCGCTTACCTTCGCGGTCAGAGGACACGTATCCACATCCTGATGCTCTTCAGCCCGTAGGTGGCTATATAGCTTATCGTCCTGCCCGGCCGGTGAGTTATGAGCCACAGCAGCAGCAGCAGCAGCAGCAGCAGGTTCCGCTTCCGCTGCAGGAGAGGACAGCAGGGAGACTGCAGAAGGGATATCGAGGTGTTTAGAGTAGACGGCTCTGATTGATGATGATTATAGAATAATTCAAAAGGCGATAGCTTATCAACTACTGTTATAGGCTCGACGAAAGTGACAAGAGAATCGTTTATTTCATTAACATGGAGCAAATTTTATAACCCATCAAATGTCCCGCGATCAGCAAGAAAGTTACATTTCCCCATCCACCGTACGCTAATTCTCCGCCATCTTCACAGTCTGCCTCGAGAAGCTGTCCACCCTTGGCACGTTCGGCCTACTGCGGCGCTTCGTCTCTATCATGCGCTGGCGTATCTCTTCCGAGAGCCAACCCCGACAAGCCGAAACGGAAGGCTGAACAATGCGTTCCTCGAACGTCTCAGCATCTTGTACTACAAGGACCATGTAGTTGTTGGCCCACTGGTGCACTCCCGGTATAAGCTTTCCGCGTATCCTGTTGAGCTGTTCCTCTGCATACGAGACTGTGCGCTTCTTCATCTCCGCAATCCCCTCGTCCAGGTATTGTTGGTTCTTCCTGTCTTCGCTCCAGCTCTCGACGGCGGGCCGCAGCTCGGGGTATCCGATAGCCTTCCAGATGCCCTTGGAGAAGTCTGGGCAGCCCAGCAGTCTTTGCTCGAGCTCGTAGAGTAGGCGTACTTCTTCGATGAGGCCTTCGTCGATCATTTCGTCTACCCGTTTGTCGAGCCGGGGCTTCAAGTGTGAGAGCTTGGAGTCGAGGAAGATGACTGACAGGTCGCATTGCTGGACGAACGGGTGCGAGAGGAGTGGCTCGGTCAACGATATCGATCCACCGACCAGCAGAGGGGTCTTGCCGTCGTTGTGTATTTGCTGGATGCTTGAGATAGCGTTGTCGACAAAGGTGGTTGGTTCCTGGTCGGGCTGCAGATAGTCTATCAGATGGTGCTTGACACCATCCATTTCCTTCGTAGTAGGCTGCGCCGTTATGATTCCTCCACACTGATAGATCTGAAGACTGTCCACGGAGATGACCTCGCCATTGATGGCTTTGGCGAGTGCGATACCAAGCTTGGTCTTTCCAACGCCGGTCGGACCAATGATCGCGATGATAGATTGGCGTCCCATTGTGCAATGATTTGAACGAACAGAAAACAGATGAGAAATGTGTCGTAGACCTCGCAAACAAAAAAGATTTGATAGTAGTGAGCGGGTTACATAGACAGTGCGCCACAGGGTGTCTTTATGAACAGAGAAGTGGCTGCTCACAAAGTCCAGGCTTCCTTCGTCGACCAACTTTCTCCAGAATACACTTTAGCTATGACATGGTCGATTCCCTGAAACCTCATTCTTCCTGCTCGCCCATAAGCCGGTGCGACAAGCCGGCGCAAAATGATGTAACAGATCCGGCCAGGAAGATGCATCCGCAAAGGATCGTAGAGTGATGTAACCTACAGCATTTCCGGTGGCTCATGTTCAGGGCAAAGTTAAAACTCACGTCGCTTGAGGGTAGATAGACTGCTAAGTCTTAGCGACATCTCAACGAAGAAGACATCGGAGAGTGCGCCATTGACTCTGACTAAGACGCCCAAGACTTTGTTTGGGCTCGTCATTGAAGTTGTACCTAGCTACTAGATTTTACGTCACTTACGGGGCCGAGAAGACACAAGGCATGTGAAACCGTCTTAGCGAATGCGAAGAGTGTTGTGTGCCTAGGTACCCGGACTAAACAGATAATAACCCGAGTGGTCCAAGTGTCGGACACAGCACTAGTCCTTTGATTGGCCAAAACCTTGGCTACCTGGGTACCGGGCCATTATTCTTTTGGCCCGAGTACATACATAGTAACACTCCACCTCGTGGCTCTGAAACAAGATACAAGCTACTGTTAGCGAGCTGTAGTTTAGGCTGAACGTGAAAGCTTACAACAACCGTATGGCACAACAGGCTTCGTGATAGTCTGCTGAGTCAACTCCGATGTATAAATCGTGGTGATGAGCTCCAATAGACGATCTCACAACTCGATCATCTGAAGGCTCCGCCACTACTCCCGTTATTCTGCGCAGAACTTTGCAAGCTGAATATCGTCAACCATGGGCTCAAAGCAAGTACACACAAAGCCACCGAATGGAACGAGTTCGAAACCATTCACATTGTGTGTATTCTGCGGTACGTCCCCATGAGTACCCAGGAGTGAATGTATACTGATGAATGACAGGGTCTAGTGAAGGAAAAGATCCCAGGTTCCGCGATGCAGCCAAAGCACTAGCGGACATCATGGCGAGGAGGTCATGGTCGCTAGTGTACGGCGGCGGGACCATGGGGTTGATGGGCGTACTCGCCGGCAACGTAGTCGCATCCCAGGGATCCGACGCGGTACATGGCATCATTCCACGTGCTCTTCTACTGGGCGGGCCGCCGCCCGCGCCGGAGCAATTCGGGCGTACAACGGTCGTGGACAACATGCACGAGCGTAAGCGGATGATGGCTGAGGAGGCTGATGCCTTTGTGGCGCTTCCTGGTGGTTTCGGGATGCTCGAGGAGTTACTCGAGATGACGACATGGAGCCAGCTAGGCATTCACGCGAAGCCGGTGGTTGTACTCAATGCATCCGGCTTCTTTGACGGTGTGTTTGAGTGGATGCAAACTGCGATCAAGTCTGGCTTCATCCCTGACGTTCAAGGGGGCTTGATTGGGCAGGCTCGTACAGTCGAGGAGCTGGAGAGGTTAGTCACTGCTAGAGAGCCTGTTGAGGGGCGATACACGTTCCTTAGATGGACAGGAAAGAAGGATGAGGAGAACGCAGATGGTGAAGACTTGGGGAGCCGAAATGATCTTGTCTCTCCGTAAGCGTTCAATCAACACATGTAGCTTAAAACATATTCACCATCTTACTCTGTCTTCTTGAATAACCATGACCAATATAGGTAGTGCGAGATAAATGTATTGCCCATTGTTCGGATCTTACGAATTAGGCATGCAGAGGCACTGCTAGTCATCGCTTCGCCTCGCTCAAGCCATGAAACTGATACAACGAAATCCTTTCGTCAACGTGCAACCTTACCTCTCAAGCCATGCCTACTCATCAAACTCGCATCACTCCTTGCTCTTCTCCTCACCCAAGTCGACTTCCACAAAATCCAGCTTCCCATTCTCCTTCCTCACACCACTATATTGCACAAGCAGTTCTGAAGATACGCGCGCACTGCGACTATCGCCTAGATCCCCACCCTGGTGGCCGTCGCCGACATACGGTGAGGGGTCATTGTCTTGGAGCTCGATCTTACCTTCAGATTCGATATCCTTGCTTTGTTTAGCCGCACGAGATTTGCGCCATTTGAGAATAAAGAAGAAGACTGTGTAGATTACGACTATACTCGTCGCTGCACCAGCGACAGCAAGACCGATGATAAGGGGACGGTGGTCGGGAATGAGGATTGGCGAGGACGGTGAGCTACGCTTAGTCTTGGCGTGGTTGGGCCAGGTAAAGCCGGATAGGGTTGACATGGTCGCTGTGGTTATGGATTTCGGGGGCAAGTTGGTGGTGCGTATGTAGTGTTCGTGAGGATGGTATAAAGAAGACAATACCGGGTGGAGCGCTTTAATTTCCCTGTCCGGCTGACGAAATGACGAAAGACTGAGAAGCTTCGTGGTAATTTCGGATGAAGTAGTTGTAGTGTTGTGTACTTGGATAGTGATGTCCGTGAATAATGTCGTGAATCGGGTTCCTCGACATACCGTACTTTATACGCAGTATGCCCATTGTGTAAGTACATTACGAAGACGCTCGTTGCTTCTTGGTTTGCACCTCTGAGTACACCGCAGCCTTGCGCAATGCGACGTCTTGTGCACTAACGTGTTGTGGAATATGATGCAGCGTGTATCTCCAAGGCGCGAAGCAGCTAGTGCTGCAGCCTGCAAAAGACGTGGTACTCGATGCGGCAAAGGTCCAAGGAAAAGCAATTCCGCAGATCGTCAGCCTCCAGCTTTCTTGTTTGAGCCAAATTCAATCGAGCAACCAGTCGTCATTGCATCGCCCTTGGAGCGAAGTGGTGTGCGTTCCGCATCTCCAGGAACTTTCTCCGTGTTTGTTCTCGTTGCTAAGATCAACCAGGTGTCCCCGGGGGCGCGCCGAAAAACATAACGGGAGGCATGTGTCGCGATGCAGATCACCCGGCCAAATGCATGTCGGGGATCATTCCGTGGCTGTGCCGCAAGCCAGGCGGCCAGCCACTGTGTCAGTTGCACGGCGCGTTGCAGGTACATTTCCCACCTGTTAATCTCTCGAATGAGCCGGTGCATCTCGATCATGCTGTCAGCCTTCTAATGCGCGCGATGAAGGATTGTGTACGACCAATTTGTCGCATCTCCTGCCTGATCAGCGGTGAGAAGGTGATCTGGAAGGGGTTGAATAAAGAATGCGCATGCGAGAATGCGGAGTGCATACGGGACGCCGCTAACCGCAGCCGCATCATTGGGTTTCGGAAAACGCCACCGAATTGAACGCGCGGCTTTACGTCATAAGCGAGAACCTCACATCATGCAACTCAGCTGCGATGCTGAACTCTAACAATAGAACACGATCGAATCAGCAGCCCCAAAAAACACGTAGTTAGGAAAACACAGTCGTTGACGATGTTCATCGATAGAAGAAATTTCACAATAAATAAGAGCATGAAAAGACGGCGCAACGAGAAAGAAGCGTTGGGGTATTCTGAATGTTTCATTGAAATGACTTATTATAAGTATGCCGATTGGTAAATCCCAAGTGTCGCTGTGAATCATTCTGGTCCCACACCTGTCTCACGAGAGACGAAGCGATGTCAGCTCATGGCTGATGTCGCTAACCGATCGAAGAAACTGTCAAAGGAGACGTTTTATGACGATGTTGGAAGGAAGCGGTTGAGTGTCGACCCGCTTACAAGAGACCGGCAAGAGCAAGGAGACCACCAGCAACAGCGCCCATGGCGGGGACGTTGTTGGAGTCGGCAGCACCGGTGCCGGTGGCGCTCTCGGCAGCGCTGGCGGCAGAGCTGGCAGCAGATCCGAGCGACTGGGTGATAGAGGAGATCTCGCTGGCAGCAGAGCCAGTAGCACTTGCGGCTTCGGAGGCGATGCTGCTGATGGCAGAGTCGGCAGCGCTCTGGATGGAAGAAGCACCGGAGGCAGCGGCAGAGCCGCCCGCGCTCGTGATGGAGGCAGCAGCGGAAGTGATCTCGGAGCCGACGGATGAGGCGACGGAGGCGAGGTCAGAAGGGACGCCGCCTACAGCAGAGGTGATCTGGGAGATGATGGAGTCGACCTGGGCGTTGGCAACGCCGGCGGCGATGACAGCGGTGGCAATGGTGGAGAAACGCATGTTGATGGTTTGGGTGGGTGAATTGGTTGGGTGAGTGGGTAAAGAGTTGAGTGTAGTTGGTTTGATGTGGAGATTGGTTGAGCTGTAGATGGAGAGTAGAAGGCAGGGCGAGAGGAGAGCTCTTATACCAGGTGAGTGCATAAGAACTAGCGCGCTTGCATGTCGCCATAGCCCCAGCGGCCAGCAACAAACACAGCGGCCACCGCCCTTGCTCGCTTGCGCCTCCTCCACATTTTTTTAGCCACGTAATGCACGCAATTAACTGGCCAGTGAGGCAAGTGACGCCACATGGGAGCGCACTGTCCTTGTCCTTGCCCAGATGCGGCAAGCCATCACAGCCCATCCCAGTCATCGGCAGCTGTTCCTGCTTTTTCGAGTGAAGCTTGATCCGGGGCCGCCTCTGGTTGTTTGAGCCTATGACGTCTGTTGACGAACATTTGTCCGCCGTGTAACGAGATTAACTGGGGCCAGAGGCGTTGCATCCAAGCCACAGCCTGCGACGCCCCGTCTCATCGACAGCGGAGCCATGCATGTCTCTGCAGCTGCCCATGGGACGATTCGGGCTATGGCAAGGCGTGCCAGTGCTATTTCCAGCGTTACAGTGATCAATTCACTCTGAAACAAGTCAGCACTTGTCGTCTGGCCAAGCTTTCTTAATGCTACAGCGACGCGAGTGCGGCGTCGAGCTTGATGACCCTGAAATGCAGGTGCTCACCGGCGTGCGACCAGCGACCGCTATAGCAACCAGCACCACGCTTCCTCTAGCTCGACATCTGCGTACCGCGACGCTGCTGCCAACTCCCATCTCCCAGCAACTGCACCAAGGTAAGTGTATACGCGGGTCCACCTGCTGTCAAGGCAACCAGCCACGCGTTGTTTGGGGGCCCGGAGTTCGGTGCATGTTCTGTGTACCAAGAAGATGATGAGACATGCATGTCGTCATTCCCGGCTTCGTCGTGGACGCCGAGGCAAGCAGTTTCTGAGACGCAAACCGCTCCACCGAAACCGGGCGAACGTCAATAAGAAGGCCGAGCTCGAAACCATGACGAAGAGCAATCTTGGGTGAATTGTGGCTCGACAGACGTTAGCTGGCGACGTTGACCAAGATTGGTGGTGTACCTGGCAGCCTTACTCGGGTCCCCTGTCGCGGATGCCGCCAAGCCCGATTTTGCCGTGATTCTAGCCCACAGGATTCTCTCCCGTGCCATGGCATTCTGCACCAACATCTTGATCTCTGATCGTCCTCTCCTATTCCCGACGCGCGTTCTTGATGTCACTCTTGTTCCTCATCGTGATGCAAGTCTCAGTCATGTCCCGAGTCGACTCACTCTGCAATTTCCCATCATATGGTGACATCTCTGCCGCCCTTTGCATCGTGACTAAAAGCACTTTCTTGGCCCCCACGAGGCTCGCTTCTTTAAATCAGAAATGCCTTAGCAGGTTGCATGCCACGAGATTGTGCATCCAGGGAACACGTGGAGCTCCCTTGGATGGAGATGCTCTACTGTTATACGGGGCACATGTCAATGCACATACACTTGCTTGATTCCTACAGGCCCGGTTGATCTGAAATGTTGCAGCCGCTAAGCTGACAGCTGCCGCAGTATTCGTGAGAATGCTAGGCCGACCGACCTACAGGTGTCATATCGTCGTCAAGCTTACTATGTAGACGTGCTGCCGGCGAATGGGAAGGCTATGCGCATCTCAGCTTAGCGCACGGCGTTCCTATTCGACGGCTTTACCACGCGAGCAATATTTCCGGCGGCCGGCTGGACTTCACCTATGTGATCACACCACCACACCACGCGCACCATACTACGTCGATTCCGTCTTTGCTCAATCACTCTGATCTGCCTGTGAAGAAGTTCAGCTACAGAATCGCTACACTGCTATTTCTCCAGGTTTGGAGTGCTCGACAGTGCAGATGGCGTCCTAATAGCCGCTGAGGCTGGACACCAACAGCACGTGTGACAGCGCATCACAATGACATCGAATGGGGATTGCGCATCTCGCCTCAAGCGCCCTTGGGAACAGAGCGGGCTCACATCTCGTCTTTGATGGGTGCTCTTCTCGCTCGTCCCTACCCTTTTCGTCTAATCGCTACTGCATTAGGACGCCTGCACGACGCCTCTAAATTGCATCTCTAGAGCACTTTCGACCCCATCGGCTTTCTTGGGACATGTTCAGCTACAGTGATGGACCGCTATGACATCTTCCGGAACGATTGCTGAGCTCTGAGCAAGTGCGATAGCTCGCACGCGCGCACCCTCGACTACGTTTGCTGTATTTCATCTTCTGGATCAAAGGTTCATGTGGTTTCTACCAAGTCACATTCGACGTCCACATGTGGGCTACGAAGGCTGTGATAATCCAAGATCCACTAGGAGGCGCTTAGTTGCATATGACAAGAACTTAGTGCTCAGCCTTCCCAATGGAGACGTAAGAGAACCATGACTGCTCGTTGTTTGCAAAGGCTGGGTGAGACTTTCTAGGTAATTCTTTCAATGACTCCATTCTGTGTACCTTTACTGCGACTGCCAGAATGAGTACAAACACCGCAGGCATCACTATCACAGCAATCATTACGAGCACAGCCGTCTACACACCTTCACCAAGCCTTGACAACGCTCAAGTATCGTCAACATCATCGGCAATGTACCATTCGGAAAACGATCGCTCGCTCTCTACACCGGCTGCCATCGGAATCGGCATCGCTATTGGCATCGTCTGCACCGTACTGGTCCTTGTTACAGTACTGTTGCTACACCGCGCATGGAGACTTCGCCGTTCACCACCAGTAAAGCAGTACAGGCAAGCCAAGTTATGGAAGGGCTTCGAGCCGGTCACTCCGAGCACCGCGAGAACTACTTTCGTTGGAACCAAGATGACCAACATATACTTGACGGAGCTACCAACACCGGTCACACCTGCCTTCCTTATGAGCCCACCGTTGCGGGGAGAGGAAGTAGACGTGAAAGAGAGATCTCGACGCTATAGCGAACCTGCATAGTCATGCTGTATACGACGGATGGCTTGTATGCAGTTTCGAAGCAAGCTGGCGCAATATATGAGACAGGGCTATAGCCATATTGAGAGTCTACGCACAAACTTCATCACGTCTCTCAGTGATCGTGCCCAGCAGATCGCGACCTTCCTTACGACCGTGAACGGCAACAACAAGCGCCTCTTACTCGTTGCGGCCTGCATCTACGTAGAATCTTGCAGCTGGCTCGTTGAGATCCTGCGCGGTCTCCCAGGCTTCAGTGTCGCCAACTCCTGTCGCGTCGACGAGATTGTTCCCACGCTCTTTGCCCTCAGCGCAAGCACCCTGGACACCCTGCTACAACGCCTCATCGACGGGGCGCGCAAGGTGGTCATTGAAATGTCTACGCATATCAACAAGCACAGCGCCAGCAGCATCACTGCCCCGCTGCAGGCTCGCATGTGTAGATTAGACATGATGATCTCGCGAAACCTCCCCCGCCGCGACCGTCGCCAGCCACCTCAGAAGAAAGCACAGACGGCCTCTCGTGCAGGTCTGGCGGGAGTTCCAGTCGAGCTATTCAGCATGATTCTACGCCACCTTGCGTGCTGCTACATTCGCTCACTCCGGCAGACGTGCAACAAGGAGCTCGTGGGCAGATGCAAAGACAGCTTCTACAACATTGTCAATTCGACCGCCGCTTCCCTCCAGGTGAGTCCCAGATGAGTCCCAGATGAGGGAGACACAAGCACATGCTGACTCCGTTTCCGTAGCTTGACGCCGACTGTCCTGCGCGCGCAATGTCACTTGCAAAGTTTGAGCGGTGGAGCGATCACATCACCACACTATGCTTCAAGGTCCCGAGAACCGCATTCTTCTACCAGCTGCATCAAGGCGCCGCAGCCGCAGCCGCAGCCGATGGCGATACCTTCTCAGCAATGTCGGATACGAAAGAGTTCAAGTCTGCGCTCGCGCTGTTGATAACCCTTCCTCGATGCAAAGCTGTTCTGATCCAGCACGACACCCCAAGCAGTGGCTGGCTCCTATGCGACTACCAATCCATCCGACGGAAGGTCCAGGACAATACCATGGCTGTCCAGGGCGACGTGTTGCGCGAGAACCTGGAGGTATGTTGTATCCGCTGTCTGTACAAGACACGCACTAACACTGCGTAGCATGGTCTTGTTGGCTTCATGCTTTCTTCGCATTCGGAATGGTACGACGAGTACCGCCTATGCTACTTCGAAGAGCGAGAGAAGGAGTCAGAGGAAGGAGGTCCACGCGCAGAGGCAGAGGAAGAAGGCCGACGCACAGAGATGGAGGAAGAACGCCGCGGCCATGAAGAGACCGAAGATGCGTACGCAGGCCAGTCCCGAGACATGGTTCGTGATGAGTATCGCTCACGTGGGCTTCCTCGGCCCATCCCCAAGAAGAAGGCGGACATTGTGGCGGCTCTGCAGAAGGACGATTTGAGGAGGTTGGAGTAGATGGTCATGCCCTACTAGGACACGCTGCTCATGGCGTTGACGACGTACAACCACTTCTATGCTACACTCGCTCTGATCCGGGTATATTATCTGTTCCATGTACATATTACGGCCTTCCGGACACTGGTATGGTCTGACGCGCGGGGTGGTGGTGGGCTGCTCCTTCCCCTTCCTCGAAGCGAAGTAAACAATGAGCCAAACGCGGTAAGCTTCGCCTCTTGCACACTGGGATTTCAGATCTGACCTGAGTAGCTCGCTCAATTCCTTCAACCTTCTTGCAGCCAGTGCCACCGCTATCAAAGCGCTGCCGCCGCTATCAGAACGCCGCCTCCATCACAATGGCATCCGCAGGGAAACGCAACCAGCAAGAGTGCAAGAGATTGAAAAAGACCGACGTTAAGATTTCAGAAGCCAGGCTATTAAATGCAGACGGTAAGTGCTAGCTGTGCGAGGTGCATGAAACATGTATACTGACTTCGTTCTTCTGCAGCAACCAAGCAGGACGTACTCGACGATATTGAGACGATTCTTCCGCGCCTCTCCCCGAACAGACCAGAGATCGCCCGCTTCTTGGTTGACGCTCGTAGCCGCCATATCGCGCCATTCCGTATCCACGAGCATGACTGCGAGAACGTTCCAACTACGTGGCCGAAGACCGACCCTGCTATGGATCGCTGGTTTCCGGATGCCGTTGAGCAAGCTCCCTACATAGAAGACCCGCCCTCTGGTTAGACCAGCGCGCAGCAAACCATGTTAAGCCGTGTCAGGTCGCATGGCATGGCTGGCGAATAACGCAGACGGCGAACTATTTGGCATCGCATTTTCGCTACCCCGTCAATCAAGAAAAAACACTGAACAGCCTGGAGCCTACATCGACTTTGGGTCACATACTTTGCATATTATCATCTTGATGTAGTCTCCAGGCCTGTTCAAATTTTTTCTTGCATGAGATGCTTTGCTCCCACATCCAGAGCTAATGAATAGGTATCGCGCATATGTCACCATATAGGCCCATATGATTGTCTACAGCGAGAGTTGTGCTTGTCGTTGGTTGCTTTCCACAAGCGTTATACGATCAGTACCTCGAGCTCAACCACATCAACGCGACCGAGGTCAAACTTGGACATGGCATAGGACGTATCGCATGGCTAGAACGTGACTTTCACGGGAAGCTAAGCCGCATCGTCCTCTACATCAACCACCCGGAGTGCTTCAAGAGGTATCGAGCCCACGTTACCACGAAGGCCCAACATCGGCAAGCCCTCCGGGAGCGCCTTGTGGACCTGACAATGGTCTACTTCAGGCGGCCCGTCTCTCTCCCCGCCTTTCTATCTACCACGCAGACATGGCATCAGCACTCGACTGGACAGTTCGTTCCGCTGCGCGTATTCGCCGACTTCCTTGACGGTGATGGCGATGAGACAGAGCTGAGGACAGCGCTGACGTGGCCACGAACTCCATCTAGCTTCGAGTGCCTCCGCGACTGGCTTCAAGGTCGGTCATTTACCGTTACAAAGATCTCGAAGATCGCGCTCATCTACAAGGTGCACACCGTCGCCGGTGAGGACTACCGGACATTCTTTCAGAGCGCCGAGATGATCGCGCGCTATGGGCCAAGGGCGGCCACGTTCGAGAAGGCGATGGAGCGTGTGTGGGACAATACCGCGCTGATCGAAGAAGACGACGACGAAGAAGAAGAAGAAGAGGGACCTACAAGGAAGAGGACCAAAGTGACCGGACTGAAGGCTGGGCTGTCAAAGGAAGGGTACAATCGCCAGACCTACAAAATGAACCAAGCAAAGATCGCTGCTGGTGATAAAATCGCCGCGGAGAAGTTCGACAAGAAGCTCAAGAGCATCACGCAAACCAACAAAACCATACAGGCGAAGGTCGCTGCCATGGATGGGAGAATACCATTCAACGATGCGCTTGACAAGAGCAAGATGTCGACTACGAAGAAGGCACCGAGCAAGTCCCTAGAGTCAGGGCGCCGGTCGAGAGCCCTCCGCGATCTGAAGATCGCACAAGGGGACCCTAAGGCTATCGAGAGTAAGAGAAAGCAGAGGGAGAATCAGGCCAAGTGGAGGCAGTCCCAGAGAGAAAAGGTCAAAGCCTTTGACTTGAAGCAGGCTGAGAATGAGAAGAAAGCGGAGGACGAGCAGAACTAAGAGAAGAACTGAAAGACATGTTAAGTCGCAGGATTTAGCAGATATATGTATGCGCGCCTCTGATGAGTATGATAGAAATGAAGTTACCCTGGAGGTGTTCGCAGTGCTACACATTTGTAGGCTCTCAGCATAAAGGTCAATGTATACCTCAACCTAGACTATGTAATATAACCTGTCAAGACATGCTCCATTGTAGACGTCTAAGATAACATGAATTCCTATCTTCTTGTTGTCGCACTGCAGGTAACTCTGTTAGAATAGACCTACACGAAGCGGTTGGCTGTCGCGCAACACAGTGAACAAAGAGGGCTGGCGATCCGAGAAGAGCTCGTAGATGTCAATACTAAAGTATCTCGTTGCAAGTGCAGTTTGTACGCTCTCAATCCGACTTCAGTCTAGTGCTGAAAAAATACTAATCCTACTTGTGCTGAGCGTCAGAAGCACGTACAATCTGTGTTAGGGCGGAGGCCATGCTTCGCGCTTCGCAGCAAAGAAGAGCCAAACAAGAGAGCAGGTAGCACACCAACGAATACAGAAAAAGAGTAACAGAGTATGCAGTAATAAGCTTAGTGTATGCACCTTTCTGTGCAGCGCGAGTAGATGCCCCAGAGTTCCGAAGACGGACACGACTGAGGTTTGCAAGTCCAAAAAAAATCCCAAAAATCTTCAACACGCCCAACTCATCTATTTCTTGCCGCGCATTACAGCAAATAGATAGCAAAGAGAAAGGCCTCCTTTCTTCCGGTACCGGGAATCGAACCCGGCTCTTCTCGGTTCTCTATGAAAGCGAGATATCCTAGCCGATGGACTATACCGGATGATGTGGTTGATGCAAAGTTGAAAATTTTCAAAATTCATGTTTCGAGGGCGAAAACGGCAAGGGCGCGGCGTTGAGCAAAACCATGCTACTAGGCGGGGTAACGCCGATGCGCATGTCAGATACACTAAGCCCCAGTTGCTCGCCTACCATTAGCACACTTGTGGTAGTCTGCTAGCATTGAAAATGCTTGGTCAACTAACATCAGAAACAGGAACGAAATCGTCAGTCTTCACCAACACACTTGAAATCACAGGCACATAAAGCATTTGCACGCGAAGAGAATAGCAGTAACGTGTGCAACACATATCATTCAGTCAAAGAAGCAATGAGCCAAAGCGACTCAAAGCAAGTAGGTACAAGAAGTGAAGAACACCAAGGTGTTACTTTCCATCATCCACCCTCCAGGATTTTCCCATCACAGATCCTCCAATTGTCATCGCATCACGAACTTAGACGCGGAAAGCGCGGGGGTGGCGGCGAACCTTCTGGCTGGAAGAGCCAGCCTTCTCCTCGAGCCAGGAGATGAAGGTGTCGAGGGTGAACTCCTTGTCGAGGCTGGCACTGCCGGTCTGGGCAGGGGCGGGAGCAGAGGCAGCGGGAGTAGAGACAGCGGCGACAGCGGCGGAGCTGGTGGCAGCAGGGGCAGAAGAGGCAGCAGCAGGGGCAGACGAAGCAGGAGCAGAGGCAGAAGGCTTGGGCGCGGAAGCGTTGCCAGAGCCGGAGCTGGCACCGTCGAACAGAGCGGGACCAGGCATTTCGTAGCTGGACATGTCACCGCCGTAGACGTTGACCTTGATACCAGGGTCGGTGGCAGTGTAGAGCTTGTTGGCCGGAGTACCCTTGGGGGTAGCGGTACCGGAGCCGGTAACCTCGATGTTGATGCACTTGGGGTAGTTCTGGGCACCGTTCTCCTGGCCAGCGGAGTGGAGAGCAATGATCTCGTGACGGAGGACGTATTGACCAGGGGCAATGCTGTCGGGGACGGTCACGGTCCAGGTGTTGTTGTTGGCGATGAGCTTGTCAGAAGCCCACTTGCCGTCCTCGAAGCCAGCAGCGTCGATCTTGAAGAACTCAAGGTCGGTAGACTTGGCCTTGGTGGCATCGTCGACCTTGGCGAGGTAGTCGATGACGGGACCGACGTGGGATTCGGGCCAGGTGGTCCACGAGATGTCGAGCTTGCCACCAGCGGCGACAGTAGCAACCTTTGCGCCAGCAGTGGCGTCCTTGTGGCAGGCAATCTTGGTGGCATCGTCGTACATGGAGGGGTCGACGAAACCGTTGTCGAGGCACTCGGGGCAGGACCACTCAATGACCTCGGGGGAGGGGGTCTGGTACTGGAAAGACGGGTCGTAGGCAGTGAAGTCCTTGCCGTCAACCTTGATGGCAGAAAGGTGACCGTGGGCGCTGACGGAGGCAGCAAAGGCGCCAAGGATGGCAGCAACTTGAATCTTGGAAGGCATTGTAGTGTTGGTTGTTGGAAAGTCTGGTTTGGACGAAAGGGTTGGTGTTCAAAAAGTTACTTCGAGATCAACGAAGATAGTAAAGAATGTGAGGCGCTTCAAGCGTGAAAAAGTGAACGAAGGTGAAGAGAGCGAATGTCGACTGACTGAATGACTGTGGTGGTGAGGAATCTCTACATGCTGGGCGAGAGGTACTCTTATACTCAGATACTGCCATGTCGGAAATGGCGCATCGCTGTGCATGTGTCAGATGAAAGGAGTGGAGAGCTGACAGAAAGGGAACCGTTTCCGTTCCCACAATGCTTCAGGGCTGTGGAGCCGGGGTGCTCGATGTTCGCAAGGTGGGCTTGTCACTTGTCATGGCGGTGCTTGTTTCATGGTGTGGCTTCTGATCCTGGCGGTAAACAGAGTATGCTGAGCAGTCCTCGGCCAGGTGTTCCTGATCGACGCAAGGAACATGTCAAAGCGAAACGCAAGAGGGGTTGAACGTTGAATAGAGGCCAGATACAGCTAGCACATCATTGCACCGGTGTTTGGATGCAGTGGCTGTACATCTCTGCGGCCGAATTAGCGTACGCACATTATGCTCTTACAATAACTCTTCGTTCTTTGATTATGATACCATGTTGTGTACTTGATGATGGTGCAAAGAGCTTGGGCGCATTGAATCAACGACTCTTCCCGCCCGCTGCACACTAGAACCATCTCGACTCGCTTAGACTCAGCGCCTCAGAAAGACATCTACGCGTCACCAAATCTCCCACCACCCAGCGGCATAAACGCAACCACGGCAAACCGGCAGACCGCGCTCTACTCCTCACATTCATTAATCTGCAGCAAACCTAGGTATACAGCCGTAGGTCCGATCGTAGCCTCAGCGCCTTTATCTCCGTATGGTCGCTTCCGACTTTCATCGTTTCATACCATGCCCCCCTGAAAGTGGGTCAACGACAGCGCGCGCCTCCACTACTGTACGCATGACAGTTCCAGGCGCTTGGTACCAACGTCTTGATTCATACGAACTACGGTGTGCACTCTGTATTTGCTCTTTCGATCGAGACCAGGTACTGAGACTGGAACACTCACCGAACCGTCCCACACACCCTCGGCAAATTACACTGCATCGTAACAGACTTCACGACATGTTCCTGCCTCCACTGGTGCCTGAACGTCAGTACCTGTTTCTGCGCCTCAATCAATGCCGCCCGGAGAAACTCCACTGGTGTTTTATGTTGTCCGGGTGGGTCTCTGCTCTCTATGCGTTTCAATGTCGCTTCCATGCCACACGGGCCTTCATTTCGGGCCAAGAAACTTTAGCAGCCGGCAACCGAAAACAAGCAACGGCTAAAGCGACGGTACAGCTGGCCAAGGCTCGCTTCCTACCGGAGACCCGGTGTTCATCTGTCAAGGTGTGAAGGGTGTAACACGCCTATGCACAGCGTTTACTAAACATCATTTTTGCACACATCGAGATCCAAGAATCATACCGCTGAACAGATGAAAGTTATCATTGTACTACCGCCGCACGACAATGCTGCATTGAAAAGGAAACTGGCAGCCCCTGCCATGGCCCTATTAAAAACGCCGAAAGTCACCCTCTAGTCATACATGTCGTTACAATACACTAGTTCCACCGAACGCCCCATAAACCGTTCACATGCCGTTAAGACGAGTAGCGCCATGTCTCAGCTCCATGGACATTCGTCGTAGCCTGCAGCGGCGGCAGCACTGGCTTCTGATCCCTTGGTACAGCTACAAGACCGCCTTTGCCGTCATCACTAATGGGGCTAGGTGTTGGTCGTTGTGGCTCGCGTGGTGGCGGTCCTGGTGGGGTTTGAATTTGCGAAGCTTGCATGCTCCTAGGTAGGTCGTACGATAGACTGGAGCGGGGCCCTGAGGGAGGGTAGCGAGGCTGAGGCGCCTGTGGCGAGTGCGCAGTCATAGATGGCGTCCCTGTGGGGCCTGTCGATGTAGCGAGCTGCTTAAGCATCTGTTCCCACTTTGGCGCCTCGGGAGTCTGCGTCGTCCTTGCCATTTCCCGTTGGAAAGCATCCGAAGACTGGAACTGTGCGGATGGCCTTGGTGCAGGTAGGCCCGTTGGTGGCGGTGGTCCGTAGTATCCGGGAGAATGCGCGGCTCCGTGTGACGCGATAGGCCTTGGTGCGATGGAAGTAGGTGTACCACTGGTTCTCGACGTAGCCTGCTTTGGCATCCATTCGGGTGCAATTCCACCATCCAGACTATAGGGTGATATGTAAGTTTTTGTCCTCCGCAAATAACAATTTCTGAGGTAGGGATAATTCATGACGTAGGATAAATACTCAGTGGGGGATTGTGCAGCATAGATGATTTCAGAGGAGGGTGTGACGGCGTACATTGGAGGTTTGGGAGTCCCAGTAGGGTTGCTCAGCATGTTTGAGATCGACGCGCGACCGTGTGGTGATGCCTGGCTTTGATGGCTTGGTGGGCCATAAGGTGAAGTAGCAATCTGTCCCGCGCCTGGTGAGTATGGTGAGGGTGGCAACTGACGAGGACTCTGAGAGTATGGGTATGGCGGTAGAGCACTATGCTGTGCCGGTTGCGCATACTTGTCAATTCCGTTGAGCAGTGCCGACTGTGTTTTCCAGGACGCATTAGAGTAGCTCTGTGGCGGCACATATGGCTGATACTGCTGTTGCTGCTGCGAAGGGTGCGGTGACCGATGCGTGTGATAGCCTTGGTATGGCTGCTGCCCTTGTTGTCCTGTGGGTAAGCGATGATCATAGCTGACATTGGGTTGATGTGCTACGGGCGAATTGGGATTCTTGCGAGTATCAGGGTTGTAAACCGGCGACCTGTAAGACGACATCGACAACTCCTTCGGCTTGTAATTGTACGGCCGACCATCTGGTGTTTGATATTGCATCGGTGTGCGCGGAGGTACTGCGATGGGTGCCGGCTTGATGGGATAAGAGGCTGGGTACGAAGTACGATGGAAAGTTGGTACTGGCGGGGGAGGAGGCTTGACGGTTTCAAGGAAGTTGCTCTTGGGGTTGTTCCTAGGCTTTGCAGGGTCCTCAGTGTACTGTGGCCTAGCCTCGGTTGAAGGCTTTCCAAGGTAGTACCAAAGCCGGTCCTCCTTGCTGAGATCGACTCTAGCCACTCTCCGAGTAACCTCAGGAGCAGTATACCATTCAGCCCACTTGTGCTCGGAGTTGGGGTCGTGGAAAGGATCGCCCATCTCAGGCACACCGTCGGTGCGGTTCGTGATGTCAAGGGATGCGTCGCTCTCCTTAAGATGCTCTGGAAGTGGCTTGGCATTTGCGGATGGCTTTAGTCGCTGCGATTCGTCTGGATGAAGCTTGAGTATGTACTTCCACTCAACTTCGACTCGATCACCGTCAGGCAATACATCTACCAGGACAGCCTGCTCGCCAGGTCTGTTTTCTACGACCTGTGCGCCGTAGATCTGGTACATTTCGCCACCCACGTACTGGAACTGGATGACATCCTTGGGTTTGAGAGTCTTGCCATAGGCCAAGACAAACTTGTCCTTTTCCAGTGCTTCAACATCGACAGTCTTATTGTTGCGCTTCTTTGGCCGGTGGAAACGGCATCGGAAGTCGTAGCCATCGTAGAAGTATTCTGTGCCCTCTTCGTCAAAGGTAGGCATGGGACCAAGGTCAACCTGGACACCTGCAGCCACCGCACAGGTAGCATGGAAGGCCCTAGTACACTTCTTTTGCGAACACTGGAAGACGGCGCCGCGCTTAGACCGACAGTAGTTGCACTTGAGCTCCAAGCGGTCCTTGCCGATGTTGGCCACATTGCACACGGTTTCGACATCGCCCTTGTTGACGATGTAAGTCTCAGGCGTATAGTCCGCGCAGATCCGGTGAGCCTTCATGCCATTGTCGGTCGGTAGCAGATCGTCGTACTCCACATCGTTAGGGCAGAGAATGCAGGGCATGCCTCGACCTGGAATCCTGATACGGATGCGAATGCGCTTGAGCTTCTTTGGTCGAGACGTCTCTTTGGGATCCTCCTTGCCGCGCTTCCTCTTGTTGCCGGCTGGCTTACGGCCTGGCTTTCCTTTGGTTTTGCCAGCGACACTGGCTGGAGGACTGGGCAGACGATCAGCGCCGTCATCGTCGTCTTCATCGTCATCAGTCTCCTCATAGTACTCGGGTGTTGGCTCTCCTCGTAGTTTGCGCTCGATCTCGTTAACGTCAACCCAAACGCTGTCAGATTCGCAGAGACATTTCTTTGCGATCCGACCATAGCTCAACCAAGATTCGTTTGCGAAGTTGACCGATTCTGCGCAGTTGTAGCCGATGTTGTACCCGGAGTGGTAGCCATAAGGATATGTGATGACGAATTCGCCCTCGTAGTGGACCAGACGGTTGACCTTGATGTTGAAGTCCCTTTCCAGTCGCTGAGGCGAGATCAGGTAGGTCTTATGGCGAAGGAATTGCGAGCAATGCTTTGCATCGTTTGGCCAGATGGTCTTCATGGCAGCTTCGAAGCGGCGAGCGTCTTCTTGGGATATGCTGTACCACTGCTTGGGGGCACCAAAGTGAATGTAGTTGATACTGTAAAGGTCCACATCCTCCAAGTGCCAGGCAAAAGTGGCTTTCCACATGCCCAGGTAGAGGTACGCCGTGTTGACACCAGGGACCTTGGTTCCAAGAACATCCAGAAGGTTGGGTAGCTTCGCGACGTTCCAGGAGGTGGTCGAGTCGTCAAACAGAGAACCCGGCATGTCGGCTCCATACATGGGCGAGCCATAGTTGATCGTCTTCCAGTAGTTGTCCTCTAGCTCTTTGCATCGCTCGACGGTGTATTCATCAAGGCCATCCAGGTGGTAGTCGAAGTCCTCAAACGCAGCCTCGTCGATGTAATCGGCCACTGCGCCGCGGTTGTTCAGACGCCGAGAAGAGACGGATTTCTTCTCGTCGGCTGTCTTCGCTTGCCGACCGCGTGCCCGAGCAGGTGGTGTGTCGCGCGCTTCCTTCTTGATCCTCCTTGCTGGTGTCTTCTTCTCTTCCTTTCCAGGTGATGTGGGTGTGGGGGGGACCTCGGGAGAGCTGTCTTCGTCTTCATCGTCTTCGACTGGCTCCTTCTTCACCTGGCGCCTTCGAGAAGGGCGACCAGGTCCGCGCTTAGGTGCAGGCGAGGCATCGCGATTTGCAGGGGCGGCGCGCGACGAGCGGGTACGAGAGGGGGGTTCGGCAGCAGCCTTTCGGCGCTCGCCTCGCTTGGCTGGCGGCTGATGATGTGGCTCGTCCGTCACGGCTTTCCATTCCGGCAGATTGTATGATCGTTGTTTCTCAATGTTGGCTTGTGTGTAGATGCCGTGCTGTCCAGCGAACTCTTGCGTGATAGGGTTCTTGACTTTGATGCCCTTGACGGCTTCGGTAAGATCAGGGAGCGATTGGCGCCTGGCATGAGTTAAGTTGGGAGGTCATACAACAGGCGCATAATCGAGACTTACCATTCCGCTGGTGGAATAACCTTGACGATACCCGACTTCATTCCATGCTTGTCGATCTTGTCGATGAAGCGCTTGAAATTGCGGAACTGGTCCATTGTCTGTAGAGATGGTAGTTAGTATCTTGTGTAGTTTATTTCCACGCGTCATAGTCATAACATGCGCGCGTGCTTCTCGTCCTGGGTAGGAGGGTATCTGCATATAGGCAACCTACTGGCTTAAACACGGGTATCTTTCCTCCCTCGAAGTAATGGTCTGGCTCGATGTCTTCGCCGTCGTCGCTGTCCAGCTCGGAGAGTTCGGACGACATCCTCTCGAATCGCTTGTCGTTGTCTTCGCTCGTGGGCGGCGTCAGAGCTGGCTTCGTGGTGGAGTCATCGTGCGTCGCGGGCGGTGCCTCAACGGAAGGCACGACATCTGGGGGTGCCTCCATGGTGAAGGTCGTAGTTGTCGAGTCGTGAATGTCTCAGAGGGGCTGTGGAGCTGCTGCCATGCGTCGCTTCTCCGCCGGGGCGGGCGCGCGTCGATGTATTAGTACCGCAACAATTTTGCAGCAAGCGCAGAGGGTGTGCGAAGCTTGCAGGGTCGTTGATAAGCGTTATCGCAAGTGCTGGGGCGCGTAGTCGCTGGATGATGCTGAGGGAGGTGCGAAGGCGAGAATGAGGAGGTTGCAGGCCGTGGGTCTGCGCTAGGCGTTAAGCGCAACAACCCCTGCCACTTATCGCCTGACGATGGGCAGTTTGCGACAACACCTGGGCAGCACCGGTAAAGCGTCAGAAGAGCTGCATGTATTCTGACCCCTCAAGTGGTGCACAAAGCCTGATCCACACAAAGGGATCGCGTGTGCTGTAAGTTCTTGTCATTCTACTGCTCTGCGCAAAGCGCGCCAAGTGTTGTGCGCGGTGACTGGCATGCACGTCATCCAAGGCCACATCTACGGATCTCATCTTATCAGATCCCCATAGTTTCCATCTGTTCACCATGTGGTAGCCAACACACCACAGCAATGCCAGATGCACTCAACGAACTCACTTGGGCATTTTTATGGCCAGCTTGCAAGTTCAACTCTTCCGAGAGGCTGACTGTGCTTCTCTTCGACATCCAGTCTACAACAGAAAAGACACGATGCGCTTACAACTGGATCGGACGTGAAACGTGGTTCCTGAATCTGTGGGGTTAAGCTTTTCTGACTGGCGCCTGTCTCAACGGCTGCAGTGACCCGCTAGTTCGTGCATCACGCCGCCATGTGCAAGAATAGGGCCGCGCCTCACCAACAACACGATAAGCCAATACGGTCGACGTAGTTAGAGAAGAGGTATCTTGTGTACTCATCCTGTCTCTGGGCCTATATACTGCACAGTTGCCGTGCAATTTGTCACTGTTGTCTGACTTTACCATGCCGTGCAGGTTGTTGGCAGCTCACTGCGACAGTAAAGTCCGGATGCCTTCACAACGCTTTTGGTATTCAATCTACTCGAAACTATGCTGAGTTTACTATGCGATCGGCTCTTGTCTGCATGGAGGAGCTGATGGGGGCTGCCATCAGGTCCCGAAGACTTCTGTGTATATGCTCTGAAGGGAAAGCAACAAGCTAGATACTAGGAGGAAAATCATCCCCCAATGCATGAATCTGATGGTGAGAGCTATAAGATGATGTTTGATCTTTTGTACGGGATGTGCATCACATCGTGCGAGCGCTGCACCTCCACACCGGCACTTCGTACTACCAACACTCGCCAATCGGAGAACATGACGAGCCAGTGCGCCCCCCATGGAAAATCTCCGGATCGACGGCCGCTACTACCAGGGGTGCACGCTCAGTCATCGTCATCAAAGTACCCTATCTTAGTTCAGATCTAACAAACAACCTTCAGCTACATGACTACAAACACAAAACACTGAGCTGAAAAAGTACAATGGCAGTCACTTGAAGCAAGAAATCATATTGTACAGGCCATTCATTAAGCGCCAGATCATAACCCAGAATATAGTACAGCCGTCCCATACCCGAGAAAATGTTGATCCTATGCACCGATGCTATGCTACTAAACACAATGGGCTGTACGTTTGTCTTCCCAGCTCTTTCGTTTTCTCATCTGCTCAGATGCTCCAAACAGGGTATCAAAGCTGCTCATGCAACTAGTCTTCCCTACTGTGCGGGTCGTTTTGCAGGAATGTTTTATCGACTTTATGACGATTCTCCACGAGGAGCGCCGCGGAAACCGCCACGCCCACCCCTGAACTCTCCACGGCCGCCACGGCCACGACCGCGGAACTCGCCCCTAGGACCGCCTCGGCCCCTGCCGCGGTATCCGCCTCGCTCACCACCTGGGTGACCACCACGTCCCCGGCCGCCACGGTTGTGGTGAACCTCGGAGAAGCCATCGTTACCGGATGTAGGAGCGGCAGGTGCCGCGCTCGGCTCGGGGGTATCGTCGGCCCAGCTCTGGGTGCTGGTTACGGCGGCAGCGACGTGTGGTGTCTCGGTCTCGGCGGGGTCTCGCGGTACCATCTCGAAGGACTCAGTCAATGGGTCATCAGCGCCGGTTGGTTGCTTGTCCCATTGTGCCTCTGCAGCAGCGTTTGCTGACTCCATTCCAATGCCAGAAGCCGCCGGTGCAGCTGACGCGGTCTCGGTAGTTTCGGTAACAGGCTTCGCGCCAGCGTCGATCTCAGTAAGACCAGCGTTGGTGATGGTTGGGTCGGAGCCAGTCTGTGCCTCGGGAGGAGCTGCTTGAGACTGCGCGACGTCGTCAACCCAAGCTTCTTCGGCGGCGAATGGGGCTTCGTCGAGTGCTGCCTGCTTGACCTGAGAATCTATACAAAGTCAGTCTGAGATGGCGCACTTGACATACTTTCGAGCTTACAGGTGACGCTGAGTACCACTCCCTCGGTGGATGGTACTCCTTCTTCCGCACCCTCGATCAGCTTCTCTGCAGCCATGACAGCGCCGGCGTCTCCTCCATAGACTTGAAGCAGAGCACCCTCGAAAGCCTTGGTCAGGTCGGAGTCGTCATCCTCAAGTTGACGACGAGCAGCCGCGGCCCTCAGGAAGCGAGACAGTGTCAGCAACTTCTCCTTGACGATCTTCTGCTGCTCCAGCGCTGCCTCGGCCTTGATCGTTCCCCTCAATGTCTCAAGCTCCGACGAGTGTGACTTGGACAGGACCTCCTTCTCCTTTGCGAACTTGGCCTCGAGCTCATCGCCGTACTTCTTGTAGTTGGTGTATTGTTCTTCGTACTGCGCAAGCTGAGCCTGGAGACCGGGTTTCCTCTCAGCTTGAGCTTTCTGGTCGGCATTGATCTTCTTGGAAGCGAGGAGGTCGTCGAGAGAAACGCCGGGATTCGCTGCGATTATGGAGTCGACCTTTTGGGTTGCGCTCTGGAAATGCCATGTAAGCAAGGGCTCGAGGGGTTAGGGACACTGTCAGCTTACCAGTTTCTTGTTGATGTTGCGGATATTCCTGCGCAGACGCGTCTTAGTAAGTGAGTCCTGTTAATCGTGCATGCGGTCCCTGAACCACAATGCGGTTGCGACTTACTTCTGAACCTCGCGGAGGTACGAGTTGTCGCTATCGGTTCCATTGGCCTTGCCGGCGGGGTTGGAGCCACCTGCGCCAGCCTCGGAAGACGTCTTCTCAGGCGCAGCGGGTACTGCGGTAGCTCCCTCTTGCTTGCCCTTCTTCTTGCGGGCGCTCTTCGACTCTCCTGTGACCAGGTTCTGCAGCTTGTTGACTACTTCCGAGGCCATTGCTGTGATTTGTTTTGGTTGCGTTGATGATTCAGATGAATTCTACACGTAAGTCGCGTCTCTGAAATGGGAGATGTATTTGCGTTCTTTTGTTGTGCTGTTTCAAAGTTGATGGTTCGGGTACATGGTCGCCTGCCCTCAACGTAACTTCGAAATTAGCGTGGGCACTAGCGTCTCGTGGCCATGACGCACCCCTCACCTGTCAGTACCGCGCAAATATCATCTAGGTGAAGCTGACAGCGCCGAGCTTGGGTGCCGCTACCTAGAGCTCTCAATTCAAGTTCTTGGTAGCTCTCTTCGTTTGGTTCCCATGGACACATTATGAAAGCCACTGCTTGCTATAGACAAGCCGACATCGCAACTTCACAGGGAGATTTTAGGTCACTACCTAGGTAACGTCTTCCACAGGTCTTCAAATCCCGAGACTTGCTATCAGATAGCTGAATCACTTCCAAAATCCGCGGGAGACATGCGGCTTCTCCTGTAGATCATAGGTAGTAAGGGAGCATGCTTATGATGACAGCCGTCAGCTCTGTATAACAGTACTTGTGAGGTTGAGCAGTACGCTGCTCATTGGAAGCTCTCAGTTGAACTCAAACATCAGTCCTGAATCATTCTCAATCATGGTTGAACAGTGAAGCTGTTCCGTGTTCAGTACACTCGTGGTTCTCAATAAAATCCCATCCTATCAACTAAAGTAAGCCACAGTCATGTGCTGCTGCTGCTGATGCGTGGAGGGATAGAATAAAAACTTACAGGACACATCACGTTATCATTTTTTACCACGTAAAACAGCAACCAGTTCCTAGCTAAGAACATCTGCCACCAGCTAGTCCGCCTCAACTTCAACCCAGGCCCCGCCCACACCTCCAGTGAACCACCAAATCATGACCTCAACCCCACCACGATCTCCACTTCCGACAAAAGTAAAGTTCTTCAGGGATCTCGACATCATAGAAGCCTGCGATATCTGTCATGAATCATTCAATGAAGAGCACAAAGCCACACGCACGCAATGTCAGCACATCTTCGGTCTTACCTGTCTCAAAAAGTGGATCGACACAAACGTTTCGCATTCAAATACGTGCCCTAAATGTCGACGCACCCTGTTTCTGGAATCATCCCTGCCAGTCTTCCATCCAGGATCGCGCCCAGACGTGCCACATCATTTTACGCTCGACATGTTCATAGACACATTATGGTCTCAAGCTATCGTACACTTTATGTGGAACGCTATGAGTAAGCTAATTCACAAAGCTGTTATCTACGATGCAGAAATCGATGCCCAAATTCACAAGGTTGGTTGGTATGCTGTGCATGACACTTTCAGTGTCTTCCACATAGGACCTTATCATCTGAATCGCCTACGGGAACTCGCCAAGGAGATGATCAAGGAACAGGTAGAGACAGCACCTGCTGAGCTTGTGCAGCCAGCAGATGGTAGGCCGCGGTATGGATTAATTCGCGAGATATGGTTGCTGCGCGTGGCAGAGATACTGGGGTGGCAGTTGGTGGAACACGTTCCTGGTACGCCTGCATGGTATGAATTGGAGCTGCCTGACCAGTCTAGATGGAGGTGGAAGGCATGGGGAGCTTCAGATGAGGCTGAGTAAATTCGCGGTCGCAGGGTATGTTTGTCTGTTGGACCTTAATCGCGATCTTTAAGGAACAGGCAGACGAGTATTGATACTATGCCTACGCATGCTTTAATGAGACTAGAGGTCTGTAATATTCTTGAATTTATGCCCATGAGCCCCTGTATTGAACAGTCGTTTACCCTGTCTTCTACACTTACTCAAACTTCATCTTATTGACGATACTTCCAATTCCCTCCACATACACTTCAACCTCATCTCCGTCTTTCAAGAAACCCTTAGGGTCCATGAACAGACCAACACCACTCGGTGTACCTGTGAGAATCACCGTACCAGCTCTTAGCGTAGTCCCGCGACTCAGATGCTCCAGAATCTGGCCTACACTGAAAATCATATCATCCGTCCCGGTTTCCTGCCTCTTCTCGCCATTGACCTTGGTCCAGTACCTCAGCTTATGAGGATCAGGGATCAAGCTAGGTGACACGATACACGGGCCTACGGGAGCGAACTTGTCAAATGACTTCGCGTAGCCGAATTGGCCGCCTGATACCCCAGCAGGAAGTTGGTAGTTCCGGGCGGAGACGTCGTTGGAGATTGTGTAGCCAAGGAGGTAGTTGGCGTAGTCTTTAGCAGCAATGTTCTTGCAATCCTTTGAAATGACCAGGGTGAGTTCGCCTTCGTAGTCGAGTTGCGATTGGCAGTCCGGGTGAATGGGAATGGTTTCTAAGGGACCTGCGAGAGCATCGCTGGGTTTGGTGAAGATGGCTGGGTTGGAGGGGATAGCGAGGTTGCACTCTTCGGCATGGCGCCGGTAGTTGAGGCCCACGCAGAGGATTATGTTTGTTGTCGGGACGGGGCTGAGGAGCTATTAGATGTTAGTTCCCCCCTAGTGCTTCGATATCTTCTGTACATGGATTGCATACCTTTCCCACTGTAGCTTTCTCCTCCGTCTTCTTGAATCCACTCTTGATGTCCCCAGACAAAACCTCTACACTGCTTCCTTCGATCTCCCTGGTGGGCACCTCCTTCTCTAAGTTCCCATATACCGTCTTTCCCTCCTTATCCTCAAATCGGATTAATCGCTCAAACGCCGACATCGCTCTTACTGTTGTGCTGAAGCAGTTTACTCGCAGGAGTATAGGTAACAATGACTGGGATCTGGGAGCAGGAATTGGTCTGGAGGCAGCAATAACGGTGCGTGTGCAGCGTATGAAGGAACGTGCAAACATGGAGTCAGGGATATGGGAAAGCTTATAAAGCAGTCAGCGAGTGTTGATGCAAGATAGCCCGTTGTGGAGTTCGGGACTTTGCCCCACGTTCGCGTCGGTCGCGGGGTCGTCTTCGGCATTTCCATGTGGAGATATCCGTCTCCTGGAGCGCGATCTGGGAATTTTGTGAAGACTGTAATAACAGATTCTAAACCACTCTACTTGGTAGCGATCTTTCACGGGACTGAACAATTGTTTGGGAAGTTACAATCGCGACACAAAACGGAAGATGATACGGGTGCACCATGCGCGACTTCCTTACGAGAAAACGTGAGAGCGCGTTTAGCCTATCACGGGTGAGGCACGCTTCCGCCTATGCACGCGCATCATCCACCTGAACTCCACACATCCATACACCCACACAAACATATCGCCTACCACAGTTCTTTGACCTACTCCAAGCTTGCGCGCATACGATGGCCGATTCGGATTATGATTTCGAGGGGGAAGGATCTGATGACGAGTACATTGGCACAAGGAGCGGTCCCTCCACCACACGCGCGCAATCCACGGCACCTGGCAAGAGGCGGAAAGCGGAGGTGCCTGCAAAGGAACCACCGAAGCGGCAAGCATGGGAGACAGAGGACTCGCGGACGGTCGCGAAAACGACACAACTGGCAGAGGACGATACGATGGGACTGAGCGTGCAAGAACGGGAAGAAGAGAGGAAACGAAAGCGACTGCGGAAAGACACAAAGCCCTTCCAGCGAGGCATTATCCGCCATGTCGTCTTGGTGCTTGACCTCTCGGAGGCAATGATGGAGAAGGACATGCGACCGAACCGCTTCATCACGATGATCAACTACACGCAAGACTACATCCGCGAATTCTTCGAGCAAAACCCCATATCCCAGATGAGCGTCCTCGGCATGCACGACGGCGTCTGCATACGAGTCTCGGAGCTCTCAGGCAACCCGGCAGAACACGTTGCAGCGATACAAGGCTTGAGGAGTAAAGACGATGGCAAAGAGCCCAAGGGCGCACCCAGTTTGCAGAACGCGCTGGAGCTGGCAAGAGCGACGCTATATCACACACCAAGCCATGGTACACGAGAGGTCATCGTTGTCTTTGGGAGCTTGTTGAGTTTAGACCCTGGAGACATACACCAGACGGTCAAGGCCTGCGTACGAGACAAGATTCGCGTCAGCGTCATCGGCATGGGCGCACGCCTCAAAATCTGCACAGAAATTGTAACGCGGACCAACGCCGGCGACGACTCCGAATACACCATCGCAACCGACCAGGAAATGCTCAAAGAGCTCCTCCTTGCCACCACGACACCACCCGTAATCCGTACGTCGGCACCCGCCGTCGAAGCAGCAGCACCACAAGCCCCAGAGTCCGCAGCAGCGCTCATGATGATGGGCTTCCCTTCGCGAGTCATAGAAGACGAGCTAACAATGTGCGCATGCCACGGCAACCTCACCATGGGCGGTTACACATGTTCTCGCTGTAGCGCAAAAGTTTGCTCCTTACCTATCACATGTCCGTCATGCCAGCTCACTCTCCTCCTCTCCACCCATCTCGCACGATCTTACCACCACCTCTTTCCTCTCCGCAACTGGTCAACAGTATCTTGGTCGCGCGCCCGTGAGAAGGGTAGCACGCAATGTGTGGGCTGTTTGGTTTCTTTTAGCAGTCCACCGAGTAGTAATAGACAGAGGACTGAGGCTGAACAAAACGGCGAGGTCAATGGCACGAAGAGAGATGAGGAAGATAGTGAGGCGCAAAAGGCTAGTGAGAGTGGGAGGTATGAATGTCGGTCTTGTGAGAGTCACTTTTGTATCGATTGCGATGTCTTTGCGCATATGGTGTTGCATAATTGTCCGGGGTGCTTGGGCAGACTGGATGGGGTTACAGCGGTCGAAGCGAGCAATGGGGACACTGAGATGACTGGATGAAGGAGTTCTCAGGCCTTCTGTGGTAGAGTTTTAGATGATTATGCCTGGCGACAAGCGATAGACTATCAATATACCCAGTCAGTCGTGTCTAATCCCTCACCTTTTTGCATGTAAAGACGAGTTCTGAACATCAAATAATTCCATTCAGCAAACATTATGTATATCGTAGCACAAGTTCAGCATGACGCATCAAATGCGTCCAAAGAGCCCCAAAATGGTATACGCTATGCCGGGCAAAAGCCATCATAAGAACATTACGCCGTTGCCTTTACACCCCCGAGATTACCACTTCGTTCCTAATTATATGCGCCCGAGCCAGCGACAGTTGGCATGGGCCAGTCGTCTTCGGTGATGCTCGACCAGAACACCCATATCATTACTACCGATAGGAGGGTGAAGAGGGTCGAGAATAGACCTCCGTTGATCTTTCCGTCGGTGCCGTTGCAGATATGAACGCTGATGACATATTGGAAGATTTGACCGATGGCGAATAAAAGGCCTGCTGCGAGGAGATAGACTGGGAGGGAGTTAGTGATGTTTTGTGTAGAGTATTGACGATTCCTTACGCATTGGCTTGCGCTCGCCGAGAACACGCAGCACCAGGAAAGCTTCCAGGAGGAAGAAGATGACGATGAAGACCAACGGAACGAGCTGGTAGAGGGTGTATAGCGCGTAGGCCTGGTTGGGCAGGAAGCGCGTCTCGTCCCAGTAACCCGTCCAGCTGAGTCCAGTGTCGAGGGCAATGTAGCCGGTACCGATAAAGATTACGATCGACGAGATCAAGAGCAGACCGATAGATACTGCCGTGCCGTCGTCAAGTAGTTGGTAACCCACGGCGCCGTTGAGCATGAGGATCCAGGATGTAGCGGTGATTGCGGCGATGTGGATAGCGACAAAGACCTGTATAAAGGTTAGATCCTGCAGGTGGATAGGTAGAATCGCGTACGTACAATGCGCACAGTGGAATTGAGGGGGAATCCGCCAATGGTGAAGATCTCGCAGATGGAGATGACGATGTATCCGAGGAGGAAGAGCTGCATTTCTCTGCGCCCGACAGCGGCCTTCTTTCTTTGCGATCTCCATAGCAGGAACAGCGAGGCGAGGATTGCGATGCCGCAGATTAATATGGAGCCTAGGTGTGTGAGCGGAATGTCGTTGAAGCGCGCATGTGCCTCGTACCCAGATTGTGCAGTCTTTCACCTCCACCAACGGGGAAGCCCTGTAGAATGCAGCCATCTTGCCATCCGTTATCGTCTTTTGTCGAAGCTGGGTTGAAGAGCTGTGAAGCATGGGGTTAGCGGCGCGTTCGCGGGCGGTGGACGGGCAAAGGGGTGGTAGGACGCAACGTACATAGCAGACAGGTAATGTGCTCCAGTTCGAGCCTGTGTCGCGGCAGAAATCGTCAAACTAGATGGTCAGTTTTCTTCTCGCAGCGTGCAGTCGTCGTCGACATACCTTTCCGTATCTAGACATGCTTTTCGTTTCGGCAGCAACAGCTGCAGGTGAGCCTCAGCCTTGCGGTTTTATGTGGAGCGCTCGTTATCGGGTTGTGCGCACTGCGACAGATAAGAGAGGGCGGTCGGCGCGGATAGGCAAGCGACGTGAAAGCGAATCGTGGAGCGGTCGTAGTCGTGGTCGTGGTGGTGAGAGGTGTAATGATGCGCTGTGGCTGGGGCCGCTGGGAAGCTTCCTCGAAACAATGCACGAAGCCAAGCAGGTCTTCAGCCAAATCCAATCAGGCGCGCCGAGCGAGAGCCAGGTCCGACCGCGAGCTTTCAATGTTTGGTTACCAGGGCGGGCGTGCTGCGCTAAACCAACCCCCTGCAGGCTGAATTTCAATTGAGTTGTCCGACGTCGATTACAGTGAAGGGATGCCTGGCAATTGCGTTAAACACCTTCTTAGGCCTCTGCCAGAAGCAAGAAACAGGAACGCTGCCACACAAACATCTGGGCAGGTAATCAAAACTGGGGTCTGCTGGGCCAATCACTCCCACGGCGCCTTTCCCCTTGCAGCGAGGGGCCGCAGATCACGGAGCATCTGGCGGCAGAGCAAGCCATGGGCCTTGGGCGTGTCATAACCAGCATGACGCAGAACTCCCAACTCTACCGGTGGTACAAGGGCGCCCATTAATTGAGTTGATGGCTTGACGTTGGCGACGAGGCCCTTCCTGCAGCTGTTCAACTCTACAGCAGCACGGTCGACCTGCGGACCTCCTTTGCCCACGAGCGTTGTGTGCCTGGGGCCGTAAAAGTTAGGTGTTTCGCACTGGAAGCGAGGCCCCAGCTTGCAAACGTCAGGAGGGTCTCCGGCGTCTACTGTATCGACGAGGATGGATTTGACTGATGTTTGTTTAACGCTAGCATTATAGTCGCTTCACCACAGCGTTTTGGGGAGATTGCAAACACTCGAACGCGTTGGGTATATAAAGCGTGTCGAGATCTGTCATACGGCTAAGTCGCGTCTCCAGTACCTAGGTAAAGCAATGACGGTTTCTTTGCTTCGTGTTCACTCGTCCAGTGACGGCAGACTTCAGGGCTGTCACGTTCACGTGCGAAGCGAAAGATGCAAGAACAGAACGCGTCTGAGGCCGCCCATGTTGCTTCTCCGCACGAAAACTGCCATGTGGCCCTGCGTCTCTTTCCTTACATAGCATCAAGTCTCGTGATCTGTAAGGAGTTTTCAACACTAGTCGCTGTTGTTTTCTACACCGCATGAGTTGTGCAACATTGAAGTTGATCGCGGCTATCTTTCCGCTTTGCAGTCAGTCTCCACGCGGGGCTCCAATCGTCGACACTACAACCCCAACGTGACCTCGGGACCCGCCTCCACCGCCCCGTACATGGCGCAGAGTTGGTGGTGCACCTCTAGTGTAGGCGTAGTGTAGAGCTCGTGGCTACGTCGTGTGCTGCATCGCGGGATCTAATGTC